TCTGACTCAGAAGCCATGTGACTAAAGAGATAAACAGCAAACTTGCTGCAAAAAAATAGTATTTTTAATATTATAATTTTCATTAAAATATATTCTAGGTGTGGGCCATGCCAACCAAATATCCTATGGCGTCAGAGGTAAAAAGCTGCATACAAAACAAGTCTTTTCTCTCAAGCCATAGTATCCTCTGAGAAGACACTGAACATTGTCCCCATTGACCTGATGGATGGAGGTAAAGGTAAAGTGGCACATATATTTCTGATCACATGGCACATACATGGAAAACATGTGTTGCCTTTTTTAGTATGATCTCCTGGTAGTGGATTGCTAGTTCATTGCTGTTTTTTGCTGATTGGGCACTGGGAGGATCATAGAAGTCACAGAGACCTCCTCCCCACAAAAACACAAATATCTGTGAGAATGCTTTAAAATTACCCTTGTGCAGGCATATACATTTGAAGCATTATGCTGAAATCAGTCAGGCATCTTTTATCCCAGTGGAATGTACAGCTCTGTAATTTTAAAGTGATCTTTAGACCTTTCCACATAGTTTGTTTCCCAAGAAATGCTTAGGAGCGGTTTCCGTGAAGGCGTACACATTGAACACATTACACTGATACTGGATTCCCTGTGATCTTTTTTCAAGATAGATCGAGGAAGAGAAGCTAGAAGGAATTTGAAATCTTATGAAGTTACTACTAACTTATTTTATATGTACATCCATATTTTATTTGGCACAGAACCAATTATTAGTAGGCATTAACATATCTGTGCAAACATTCATTGTTTAGATAATGATGTCTTCTTCTATTTGCTAAATCTTAGAGCATAGCTAGAATTATTTCACAAGGTCAATGACTCAAAATTTCACCGACCTATTAGCCTTTTCCTTCACATACTAGAACTGGAGTTGACAAATTTGTTTGGATTCAGCTCATTAGCACTATCTCTACTGTTTAAACAGATTTTATGATCAAGGATCATGCTGGATCATGAACTTCAATTGCCTTCAAGTGTTTATAAAGTTAATTACAAACAGATGCAAGTTCCAAAATGTAAAAAGCTGAAGGAATTGCTAGTAATAATCAACACAATTTTCCCCTTTGTAGCATGTAGAACAAGAACCTTGAGTCATGGTAACTGTGGGGACATAAGCCTGTTTCACAGATTTTACTTAAAATTTTGCTTCCAGTGCACATTCATCACAAGGAAACAAACAATACACACTAACATTCTTGATCCATCCTCTGTCAGAATAAATCCAGAAGTGTCCTACTAAAGATTGATGTATTCTTGAGTCATTTGGACTACAATTCAGTTCTATTAAAATTGAGTTTAAAATGTTTCTTTGGTTTAGAGAGAAAGAGAAGTAGTAGAATATAGCCTTGCTTTCAATCATCAAGTAACAGTGATATTTTTATGGGGGCAGGGAGAAATATCAAGGAAAACCTAGAAAATAATAAAACCTGGGCTTCTCCATATCTTCTACAGTCCCATGCACTGGTTCTTACTGAATTGTTTCATCATTTGAAATCTATGACAAGATTACTTTAAATCTGCATAATCTACAAAAGTTTAAACAACATTGTATGGTAGTTCTTTTTTCACATTAAAGGTATGAGTGATACACCATTCTATTCTCCTATCCATCTTCCATCTTGTTTAAAGTAGAAGGGTAAGGGGAGGGATACCACTCAGGCAGGCAGCATTTGTCTTCCCTTAGCTAAATTTGATGGTTTGGAGTTCATACACCATTTTTTAAAAAATCTATTTTTTAATTCCTCCCACTCTCTTTTGACACCTGTGGCAGGAATCCAGAAATACAAAAGTCCCCCCCTTCATCCAAAGTTGCCCATCCCTCATTACAGTTTTTTCCTCTAAAGATATGTTTATACTCTTGCAGGCCTCAGCTTGCTCCCAAATCAGTTGATAGCTCTACTACGTGGATAATGTCCTTTTGAGTGTATCTGCAATCCAAGTTAGACTTCAATTGGAAATAGAGGGGATGATTACTATTGTGCTTATTAGCTATGCTGTAGTGAGTTTAGTACTCATAATCCTGAAAAAATATTTCTTCACTTTGCTAGTTGCTTATTTTAACATTCTTTAGTTGGTGGTTTAAAATGCTTTTTAAACATGTGTAATGGAAAACGCTACAGTTTAGACCCATTACAGGAAAACAATGTTCATCAACTGCAGCTATAATGAAACACACAACAAAAAATCATCATTCTGCAGGGCTGGCCTAAAGAACTCATCTTAAAAATATCACTTTTAATGAAGAGAGATAAAGACCAAAGAACATTTCAGAACATAGCCAAAAAGTGTTGTTAATAGCATAAGTAGCTCCTTTATTCAACCTGCCTCTGCTGGCTCAATGGAAAAAAAATAGTTATTTTGAACACTTTCTTGCTATGGAAAATTGAAGACAAACTTAAGATTGTTTAGTGGTAGTTCACAGATATGTGAAAAAATAAATTCCATCATCTTAGCTGGTCAATTCTGCTAAACTACACTGCCTATTATAGTACATTATAAATTATGAACTATTATAATATGGTATCTAAAAATCTTGTTAGGTGTAAGAACATCATGTGGAACATAACAGACTATTGTCTAACTAACTTTATGTTTATATTCACTGTATTTTAATTAAAGGACTTATTTTACTGACAAGTGTAAGGAGGTGTTCTGCAGGAAACTAGCCCTGGAATCAAGCACTGCTTCCTTAAAGCCAGCAGCTACACAAACCTCAAATGACTGTAGCTCACAGCAGGCCTTCTGCTGTTCAGCATGTAAGTATGTTTTAATTTCCTTAAACCACAGGACACAAGTCGGAATTCAGATTGTGTCTGAGGTTATGTATTCAGTATGAACAGAGATGCAAATTTTTATAGCATCTCATTTCAAATAGGTATTCTTATGAGATTTCATATTCTTTAGGCTTGAATATGAAATTTCCAAGATTATGATGGTGTTATCTTGGGTACTAGTTTAGTCATCTGCCTGTATTCCCTGAACTATTTATTAAAAGCAGCACAAACTTTTTCTTTTTCATTGGGCAACGCAAACTGAACAATGTCTTACCTTGAATTTGTTTGTTTATTGTTTTTCAATTTACACCTTCTACATTTCCTGTAACATTCTTTCAGATTCTATAATACTGTGCTGTCATTATTTTCATTTTGGAATAGATTCAGATTCTACTTTGGTAAAATAGCTCCTGAAGACAGATGCTACTCAGGGAAGATTTCATGATGTGCAATTCTTTGACTGACTTACACAACACAGCAAATCCTTATTTTATCATTAAATTCTTCAGAGCCAAACAAGTATTTTTATGTTTATATTAATAACCATTTACTTTCACACCAAAATAATTGAGTCAGTAATTTGTTTACCCACAGAAACTACATTTTCCCCAAAAGGGCTATGTTCAAGATTAAAAGGCCAGTCTTCAAAATTAAAAACAAAAATTACATGGAGTAAGTATGATTTTTCATTTGGCCACTAGTATTGCTTGATTCAGTAAGTTATGCTTTATATAGGCTTTAGGGAAAGATACAGAATTAGTGCAACTGCACAGTGGTGACAACTTTACCTTCCACATCCACACAGAAGATCCCAGGGTACCTATCCCAGGGTACCTATCACACTGTGCTGAGACCCCTTTGGGAGATACAAATTACTCCCAGTAGCATTTGTGTTGAGCGCACAGTTAAAATGGAGACTGGAAAGCTGGGAACTTAACATGAAGTTCCTGTTTGGTGCACAAGCAACATCTATCATGGGTTAACGCCTACATCCTACATCCCAGGCAGGAAACATATGATCAGGTTCTCTGCCTTTTTCTTGGCCTCTGAGGAACTTCCAAGCCAGCCCTTACTAGCTGAGCATTTAGACAGAATAGTTACTGTGGAAACATTCATGTAATAAGCCAAAGCAGAAGGTAAAATTTAATATTTTTATTGTATAATTTTATATGCTTTTGTTTTTGTTGTGAGCCGCCCCGAGGCTTTGTTGTGATGGGGGTGGCATAGAAATGTTTTAAATAAATAAATAAAAAGGAAAAATGGGAGGGAATTTCTTCTACAGTTATTAGCACACTGCATACTAATAGTATATAGCTTTCAGCCTGCTAGAGGGTATAGATGCCTCCTGTACACCAAATTAGAATGGAATTTCATGGTAAATATACAACTTTGTGTTCCCATCTCATGCAAAGGAGACATCCATCATGGGATGTACAAAAGCTACTGTTTCCGTTGGATGGGACCTAAAAAAGGCTGTTCTTTTGGTTGAGGTAACACCTGTTGTAACACACTACCTCCAAAGACAGCCTCAACAGAAGCTCATTTATTCATCAATGCAATGCCTTTTAAATGTATGGTGTGAAGACTATGTAAGTACCACATAGCTCCCCTACAGATATCTCCTAAAGGTACATTAGCAGAAATGTCCAATGGAGCAGCAGCAGCCCTAGTGAGTGCTTGTAACATATGCAGGTTTAGGAATTGTGTTTGGTTTTTGGAAATGACTAATCTAGGCTACAAGACTAGACTAGAAGAGAGAGAAAAATACTAAAGTAACAGATAGAAAAAGGATGGGAAGAACAAAAACAGGGCCAGGGGGGTGGGGGAAGCCATTGAGGAAAGTTAGGAGAAAGCCCTGCCCTAGCCAAAAGCAAAGACTGAACAGACTGGGAAAAGGCATAGAGGTCAGAAGCAAGGCAAAAAGCCTGATTACATATTCCTTGCCTGCCCTGGACAGTGAGGGGATAGCTCAATGGATGTCTCCTGTGCACCAGAAGGGAATATGTGTTCATGCATGTAATGGGGAGGGGTTGCAACCACTTTCTCAGTGATCTCTTGTGAAACACTATGTTTGTAAGATAGCATGGAAAGAGAAGGAGTACTAAAGCACTATTTATAATTAACTAGACTCAGGCTATATCATACCAGCACATTAGAAAGAGTCAGCAATAAACAGTTTATACCCACCTGCATTTAAGTCCTGATTAAAGCGAGAATATTTTGAATGCTCCAGGGAAGGCAGGCACTGCTCAATGGGTACCCAGACATATGTCTCTGGACAAAGCAACTCAGAAGGTCTGTACTGGCCCTTGAAAAAGTGGGGAAAGAAATAGCATGATAATTTTGAAAATTCCAAAACAAAATTGCAGTTATTTTTTGCTCCAGATAACCTATAATAGTAATAGAAAATGTCAAATTCAATAAACCAGCCACAACACACAATGGGAGCCCCCAGTTTCTCCAACATCTATACTTTTCCTCTGGTATTCCTCCCCTGCTCCTCTTTACTGTTTACTGATCAGCATTACAATTTCTTCATAAATTTGCTTGACCACTGATAGTCTCTTATTTTGCTGAAATGGCACAGTATACATTAAAATCAATTTGTTTGATGACTTTTCATTTGAGATAGTAGCTCAAAAATCAACAACCTGACATCCTGTTAAATTTAATGCATTTTGAGAACAAGTATCATTTTATTTCATTTGGCTTAACCATAAGATTGAAGTTACTGTCTGAAAGGAGTTTAAACAAGAAATGAAAGTTATTCAAAAAAGAAATATAAATGTTGAGAGAACCTGGGACAAATAGCTAGCATAATTTATCATACTGTTTAATGTTTGAGTGCAACTCAACTTCCTGGTCATACTTAAGAGCATTAAGTATTTGCAGAAGCAGTGACTGGGTTCAAGCACAATAAAAAAAACTATGGCAGAAACTGGTGGCACTGGCTTGTTCTTATGTCTAAGCCTAGCGACCCTGGGAAAGTGTAGTAAGGATGGTCTCCATGGAATCACACAGAGAAACTACAGTCTGCCCCATGTTTTCCATACTTTACCACAGCTTAGTACATTTATGAATCCAGAAAACATGCATCCAAAGTGGCTTCCATGAAGTTCTGCACTAAGAAAGCCCTTGCTTACAGCAGACACTCTCGCCTGAGCTCACTGCTATCCAGTTAGCCCGGCAACTGCTGCCTTGAAGTCAGCAGCACTCTGATTGGTTGCTCTGGGTTTATTTTTTCCATTTTCCATTTCTCATGCAGTGCCTTTGGATGCCCACTGCAGCTTTGGAATTTCAGCTGCAGTGGGGCTTCACACCACAATGCCTCCATGGTGGGGACAGCTGTGCTTGGCACTCCTGCCTGGCTGCTGCACTGAGCTGGAGAAGTGCTCAGTTAGTATGCTGCCTTTGCTTTATGCACAAAAGCACTGATCTCCTCTTGGGAAAGCTGCTCTGCACGTGTGGAGCACATAGGGAGCAAGCAGGACATCACCAACAGGACATGAATCCCAAGGAGCCCATGTCTCCCACTGTACCTCCCACCTGCATCTCCGTTCCTATCTTGCCCAGGCAGCCAATGGGGCTGCCAACTAAGGCCCACTGTCCCCTGCCCACCCCTGCCACAGCTGTGCAGCAAACTCTGTTCAAATAGCCAGCCAAAAAACTCTCTGGGGGGCTCACATGCACTCCATCAGGCATGTTTGCCCAGCAGGGCGCGTTTACTCCATTCCTGGTATGGTGCCTGCATCAACATGTCCTGCAGCCATGCAGCCATCCAGGACAAAGTCAGCCCTGGGCAGTGTCTGCAAGTCCTGCACATGGGGGAACATGAACGCATGTGAAGAGGCGGGGGAGAGTGGGGGGGGGGTACTTATATGGTGATGCAGAGCAAGGCAGCAGCAGCAGCAGCAAGTGCTGCTCTAGTGCTACCAGAGGAGCAGTGGCCCTCTAATGAGTAAGCAGTTTTTTTGTAGAAAAAAACAAAAACAAAAAGGACAGCTGGCTAAGGCCCCCACAAGCAGGACATGAGTGCAACAGAACCCTCCTACCCTTGGCCCCAGAAACTGGTGCACATAGGCTTACTTCCTCTGATATTGGAGGTAGCTTACAGCCATCATGGCCAATAGCCAGTGATAAACTTATGTTCCATCAATTTGCCCAATTCTCTTTTAAAGCCACCTACAATTGGTGACTACTATTACTTCCAGTGGAAGTAAATGCCTTATTTTAACTATGTGCTACATGAGGAAGTACTTCCTTGTATCAGTCTTCTTACCAATTTAATGGTATGACACAGGTTCTCCCCCATATACTTTCTCCACACCTCGCATAAATTTGTACACTTCTATCATGACTACCCTTATTCCCCTTTTTCCTGAGTGAAACACTCGCAAGATGTTGCAACCTTTCTTGCAGGCAAACTGTTCCAGTTCCTTGATCAATTTAGCTGGCTTTTTCTGTGTGTCTTCAAACTCTGCAGTGACCCATTTACAAGCAGTGCCCAGAAATGTACACATCTAAGGGTGGCTGCACCCCACACTTGTGAAAGAACACTATGATCTTGGCATTATATTCTACATTACTTTCCTAAGTATTCCTAACATGCAATTTGCCTTTTTCAGAGCAACCACATGCTGAATACAAGTACAATGAATCAAATACAGCTGCAAGCATAGAAGATTCCTTACTGACACTAAAATTTCCAGATTAAGACAAAAATTATATGAAAACAAACAGAAAATAGAAAAGATCATCCATATAACAAATTTTTGCTTTTAAATTTACTGTTCTTAATCCAGGAGTTTCAACACAAATTTAATAACAAAAATATTTTATTAATTTTCATTTAACTTTTGTCAGGCTGACTTGCATACTTTTGCACACTGATATAGATATAAAACAATAACCTAACATGTCTTTGATTCACCATTAGCATGTACATGAAAAAAATTAGGTAAAACCATCACCTCTTGATCTGTTTATATTGACACTGAATCTCTTACACTCTGACAATTCATTATTTCATCATACAGAATATTCAGTGATAAATTCCACCGTTATTACTCTTCTAATCCTATTACAAAGCACTCCATTTTGTATTTGGTATAAGAATCTGTTTCAGGCTGGATTCAAGTCACCAACTGTGACTATATACTGGCCATATCTGCAAAAAAATGTTTCAGTTTGCAGCAATGAGCTGCAACAAATTTCCAGTGTACATGTTCAGCTCTCTACATGGTCATGAGAAATTTTAGATTTTGCATCTGTTTCCGATTAACAGTGAACATTGTTGAAACCCAAGCCAACAATATAAGCCATGACTCTGGACATCACAATGGATTTGGATCTCACAATGAACTGCCGTGCCAAACTCCTCCTCATGGGCATGACATAGGAAAAGGATAAAATTGTGTGAGCCTTAGGCTCGCTATGGCTCATCCTCAGACTGCTAGACCAAGTCTACCAATCCATTCTTTCATTCCATTCACACAAAAGAAAGCATACAGCAGTATTTTCCATTCAGGGCCCTGTCTACACATAAGAACAACCCACATGTAGAGGGAGGGCCCAGCTCGAGCACATTACATTCTGCTCATATAGCTGTGCTCAATTTTAGGGAAGAGACAGAGGGGAAGAGTTGGGTAGATGGCAGTTTCAAGGTTACCTAGTGAAGGTTCTCAGACCAGTCCACCTTGGAAAAGGAGGCAGATGTTTCAGAGATGGGGGGAGCAAACTGGGCATTCTTTCATTTTGTCAGGAAACAACAGGCAAAACAGACCAGTTAAGAAGTGTCTAGCATTTCTGCCACTTAGCCCTCAAGCAGCAGGAGCCACCTTGAAGGTGGTTGGAATTTTTCTGAAAGGGAAGGAAGGAGGCAGTGCTCAGTTTGGATTCAACTCTTTGTATGGGAAGATGCTTCTCCCATATCATAAAGGGAACACTATGCTGATTGATACTGTTTCGTAACCTATTCAGCTTTAATGACTGCTCCTCTAAACTTTCATCTGAGTCTACTGGAGTGGAAAAGAGGAAGAAAGAGACCTGCTCACAATGACACTGTGGATTTATTTAAACAAGCCATGGGTGATCTGAAGTTTTCTGAGTCCTGCCACCCAGGTTCAAATGACATGACAAGCCACAAGAACTCAGGTGTCCATGGGCATCAAGCAAAATTGTGCAAGGTCCTCTGAGGACATAATGCAATAGCCTACATGGGTAGTTTAAGCCAAGGTGGGCTGTCATGCCACGTGAAGCCAATCAGGGTCTATTCTCACAACAACTTCAGTATGTGATAACTGTCAGAGAAAGACTGTTAAGACTCCCAATCCATCTGTATTTCCTCTAGGAGATTCAAAGTGATACCCCAAACTCTCAGTCATATACAAAACTACTGAAGCTCATCATATAACACCCCCTAACAAACAGAAGACTGAAGACACAATACCACCATTCCAAGTAGTAGTTCCAAATAACAACACAACCACATGCTCTTCCGATATACTGAATCTTCAACTGTTCATGGGATATCCCACTGTAAGGTAGCTTCTGTCCAAAGAGTTGTTTCCAGCACAACTATTTCTCATTTCAGCATTTCATCACACTCACGCAACATGACAAGAGAAAAAAATGTATCTGAGGGAAAGAACCCCTCACATTCAGGATGGAAAACTTGGAAGAATCTGCGATTTGGACCTACATACACAGGTCACAAACACTAATCATGACACTAAACCACCGAAGATTTGTGCTAGAAGCATTTTATAGGCAAGGCTGGAAAGTGTCTATATCTTATCCCTCTTGTTTCCCTTTCTTCGCTCCTTCCTGAAAGATATTCACCCAGCCTGGCTTGTCACTGGTTCCCTCTCGCAAAGATAAACTGAAAGAAAGATACGTACATATGACATCCATTCAGACTAATGTAAAATATGGGCGATTATTTTAATTGGAAACACCTGGAGGCATATTTGAGAGTTCTGCCCTAAGGTTCTTTAATTGAAGTATTCTCACTCTGTCTTGCTTTGTTTTCAGGTTTCTGTGCTAAACCAATGAAAAGTGTCTCTGGACTTCTGTTCCAAGGCAAGGCCAAAAGTTTTAATGAAACTTAAGTCTGGAGATTTACTTTTTAAATATTTTTGAAAATCTAAGGGATTTGGTGAGTATTTGAGATGAAGGCGCATCAGCAGAGTTTGTTTTCACAGACTAAGCTCAATATGAAAAGTGAAAGCTCCAAGGAAAGATAATAGTTACAAAAAAACAAAGGAGGTCAAGTACCAGTAGCACAGAACAAACAGAAAAGGTTAAACA